TCAGGTGGAAAACCTATTTAAAAAAAATATATTTTCAAATTTGTAAAAATATTACATTTTTTATATACGGTACTTTTTAATTTTTTTTATATTTTATTTATTTGTATTAAATGTTTTTCTTTAACTTTACTGTTGAGGGCTTCAGGGAAATATTAGGGGTCTAAACAGACCCCTGATATTTCCCTTTTAAAATATAAAAAGAGATTGAGGACACAGAGCCCTCAATCTCTTATTTTGCAGCCCTGTTATCAATGAACAGGAAGCCTTTATACTGAGTGTTCCTGTTTATTCATAACATGAGGACATAGTGTGTTTACTATAACCACAATCATGAATGCACAGGAGGTGATGTAGATCACTTCCCATGCATTCATAATTGAGGACACAGTAAACATACTCTGTTGCAGCAATTTTCTTTTTTTTTAGACTATAGAGGAGAGAGTGAGGAGAAGCAGCCGGGGAGGGAGTATGAAGACCAGCTATAAAGGACTACAAATCCCCGTAATACATTATACAGCAATACAAAATAATATGAAGCTACACACTCTGTGTTGTTCTGGGTTGGCACCCTGATGTCTCCAGGTGGCTTGTGCGGGCTCTCAGATGGGCTGTGTGGACCCTCAGATGGGCTGTGCGACACTCATGTGGGCTGTGCGACTCTCAGTTGGGCCGTGCGACTCAGGAGGGTTGTCCAACACTCAGGTGGGCAGTGAGACTCTCAGGTGGGCTGTGTGACACTCAGCTGGGCTGTGGGACACTCAGGAGGGCTGTGGGACACTCAGGAGGGCTGTGCGACACTCAGGAGGGCTGTGCGACACTCAGGAGGGCTGTGCGCATATAAGGTGGGCTGTGCGAATATAAGGTGGGCTGTGCGACTCCCAGGGCTGTCTGGGCTCCGCAGGCAGGGAGTGTCAGGGAGCCTGAGGAGGAGCAATCACAGATACGGCTGCCGAGGTCCTCAGCAAGCACGATCTGGGTGCCTGAAACTGTGCTGTGGGCACCTGTAAACAGGCACAAGCTGTCCACAGCTCAGAGGGAGATCCATTTTCAGGCAGATGCGGCTTCCCAAGATCACGCTTGCCGGGGACCTCGGCAGCCGCATCTGTCAGAAAATTAAAGTGCTGGTGTCAGCACTAAGTGTCTTGTGTCCGGGTGACCGCTGGCTGGACACCCAGACACAAGACTCCAAAACTGGACTGTCCGGGTGAAAATCGGATGGGTGGCAACCCTCGTCCCTACATGACCAACATGTATCATGGTGTCTATTTGTATAAGGGTGCTAGTTATGTGGGCCACCCTGTTTTACCCTGAGATACAAGTGGAGGAATATTTTTTGTTTCCATTTTTATATTCAATCTATGTTTTATTTGATAGAGAATTATCCTTTTAGTTTTCAGGTGATTCTTCTTAATGGATGGAACACCTTTTATTGTCACACTCAGAAATCCTCCCTCGAAATGCATCACTTGTTTTTCTTCTACTCTATCAAAGTGTCCCTCTAAATAATTTTGGGAATCAGGCAACTATGCTCTAGCTTGTGTGTCAATGAAGAAAGCTGTGGGAATGTCAATCTAAACACAAATGCACAATACTGAAGGGTATTTTTTTTTATAATACAGGTCTGCTGTCAAATAATTTTTATATAATCATTGAAAGGAGACTAGTTTTATACAACGATGGAACTTGCCTGCCATCCAGTGGTGTGTTGTGGAATACAATGTTATCAAAGTGTATTTCCACTGCTGCCTGTCCTAACAAAGAGTTACAATCCAAAACACATTAGGGGGAATTTATCAAAACTGGATAAGACAAAATCTGGAGCATTTGTCCATAGTAACTAATCAGCTTCTATCTTTCATTTTCAAAGCTTAACTGAACAAACTGAAGAGAGAAGCTGAATGGTT